AAAAAAAAAAATAACTTCTGAAACTATGAGAGTAGGTTGCACATTTGGTGCACAAATATTCTCCAGTTTTTAGTCTACCCAACTAAACCGTATTATAACTGATGGTTCAGACAACAGTTTTTGTTGAATAATGAAAATTAGGTCATAACCATTTATGGTTTTTTTTCTGTTAAACATTACTTAACAGTTAAATACGGATTACTGTTGTTAAATAACTGAATAACAGTTAATGCTAAACAATTAATAGCAACAGGTTGTGCATTTGTTGCATTACTTTTATTCAATGCCTTTCTTCTACCAAAAGTCTAAATATATCATTTTGGAGTACAGAAAAAAAAAAAAACATAAAAGATTTTGATAAATTTGTACAAAAAAAGATAGATTATTACAATTTATTTTTTAATAGTAAATAAATTTACTGTTTTCTAATGCAATGTTTTCGATGAACATTTTATAAACAGAGAACATCTGTTGTACAGCTTTATCATCTGACCGAAAAAAAATACAACAAAATTGAAGAAAAAGAAAGTTATTATATTTTATATTTTTATTTAGAAGATTATATTTTTATTTAGAAGAAAAATGTTTTCCATTACTGCCGTTGAAAAAAAAAAAACTGTTTTTAGCATTAAAAAAAAATTTAACATTTTTTTGGATATCAAAAATATAAAGCAATTGAATACAAAAAGTTGAATCAAAGATTAGAGAAAAAAAAAAGTGCAAAAGGGAAAAAATGAATACCAATTTTTTTGTTGGCAAAAAAGGGAAACTGATTTTCAGATACTTTGAAAACGATTATGAAAAATGTTGAAATGAAAGTTGAAAGAGGGAAAATTTTTGTGCCAAACATAAGGTAAATGGTTTTTTTTTTGATTAGATGACCAAAAAAGAAGCATTAAACTATTGGAATATTATTTTTTTGATTCAACCAAAACAAATATTAATATATTCAAAACGAATTTAAGAAAAGAGGCAATAAAAGCGATGACGGGGTGCTAAATTTGCTTTTTTGTTTCTTTATCAATGCAAAAAAATAAAAAAAATTATCATAATTGATTGTATTTTTTTTTTTCACATATATTTTTTTCAGCTAAAATTTATTTGTACAGTTGAGGTGAGGAGAGTGAAGAAAGGTGAAGGAAAAGTTGGAGAAAAGTAGAAAAACAACCTTGAAATATTGCGTTTATCAAACGTTTTATCCATCTTATAGCCTTGGCAATTAACTGTCGATCATTGACCTAAACTTTCACTTGGTCTTAGCATTACTGAAAAACTGAGAACAATTTGTCCAAACCAAAGTTAAGTTTTATTATTTTTGGAGGAGGAGAAGGGTAGACATTTCTTTAACAATTTCTAAATAATCTGTATAAGTATCGGACTTTGATAGGTGACTGTGCTGTTACAGCACCGTTAAGACGATAGAATCAAACTTGGTTGAACACATCTAAAACCAATTTTTATCATATTTCAATATCAGCATTTTTTGTAGCAATTCATTTCGGCAATCTTTGATCAATCAATTATTGTTTTCACAATAAAAAAACCTCTAAACAAACAGCGATTATACAAAATTGAAATCTGTAAGAAGATTTTTGCATTTTAATATTATCAAATATTATTGACAAAAAAAAAAAACTCTGTTTTCTGGAAACTTTAACAAATGAAATTCATCACTAAATTGTTTCCATCTGATAAACGTTTAATTGTGATGAGATGTGTTAGAAATTTTATTGACAAATCAGTTTATTATCAGTGTTATTTGAAAGATAGACAATTGCAGGTGAAAGCAAACACTCTCTCTTTTTTTTTTTTTTACTTTTATTTTTGGTCTATTGCTTATGCAAAAGAATTATAATTCAATTATGCTTTTCGTTTTTTCTCTCTATATTTTTGTAGAAAGGGAAACGGAAAAAAAAAACAAAAGAAGGCTATTTGACGAGTGGTAAAAAAGAAAAACAGAAAAGTAACTGTACTGCTAAGTGCAGTATTTTACGAATTGTTGTCAGTGTCTTCTGCTTTCTTAGTGAAGCAAATTTTTTCTTCCTGGTAACTGATTATATACGTCATA